AAGCAAACCACGCGCATGTCAAAAACAGGATTCGCCGTGCGCGTTCGTGCAGTGGAGACGGGCCATTAAGTAATATTGATAAATAATAACATAAATTTAAATAAATAAAAGTGCAAAGGATAAAATTTACATGAAAATAATATCCGTAATATGATTTGATATAAAATATAAGCAAATAATAATAAAAATAAAATTAATAAATAATATAAATAAAATTTCCGAATGATAAAATAATATTAGAAAATTCATAAATAATTAGTTTGTTATTCGTCGACAGTTCGGAACGTTTATTCAGTAGCCAGTAATGTTTTTTGAATAGTTCATCAATCTGCTGTTTTTTCTTGTTAATGTGAACTCTCCAGTTCAATTTTGTGTCTAGGTGTATTTCGAGATATTTTACGCTATCTTTTACTGGGATTTCCTGTCCATTTAACTTAATTGTAGGGCATATACCAGTACGCAGCGTGAAAGTGATATGCGTAGATTTTGAGCCGTTTGTCATAATTCTCCATAAAGAAAGCCATTTTGTAGCAATATCTAGATGTTCTTGTAATTGTTGCAAAGCTATTGCGGGATCTTTATTGGAGGCAATGATACATGTATCGTCAGCAAATGTCGACACGCTTGTTCCGGAGTATAAAGGAAAATCCGTTGTGAATATAAGAAATAGAGTTGGAGAAAGGACGCTTCCCTGGGGCACCCCAGAGAGGATCTTTTTTTTGTCGACTCCTCGTTGTTAATGCTGACGAAAAATTCTCTATTTTCAAGGAACGATTTTATTATTGAAAATATCGGTTCTGATAAACAGAGTTTTAGTTTGTACAACAAACCAGTGTGCCATACCTTGTCAAATGCTTGCGCAACGTCTAAAAATACAGCCGAACAATATTTTTTTTGCGGGTAGCGTTAATTATATTTACTAGGCGATGAACCTGTTCTATGGTTGAGTGTTGTTCTCTAAAGCCGAATTGGTGATTTGGAATTAGGTTTTGATTCAACAATTCTGACTTAATGCGTTGGGGTAATAATTTTTCAAATATCTTTGAAATACAAGGAAGTAGGCCTACTGGTCTATAGGAAAACAATAAATGAGGATCTTTTCCAGGTAATAATCTAAATCCCTTTTCTGGCAGTTCTTTTATCATTGTTATCGTAATTTTATCTGGCCCAGGAGATTTATTACGATTTGCAACCTTGACATAATTTTTCAATTCGGTCACCGTTATGCGTTTTACGATTTGGCCTGGTATAGATTCATTCTGTAAACAATTGTAAATAAAATCTTCATCGTTTACGTTGCAACTGCGGGGATGAGGCTGGAATGTATTTTTCAAGTGTTCTGAAAATTCTTCCGATTTTTCTCCTGAACTTCTTGCCCAAGAACCATCAAGTTTACGCACTGGAGGTATATGTACTATCGGCTTTTTCAATCTCTTCGTTGCCTTCCAAAGATAATAATTTGTGTCTTTAATAGATGAAAGATTAGTTAAATATTTTTTAAGGCATTCGTTCTTATATTCATATAATAAAGTCTTAAGATTCCTGCAGGCACAGTTAAATTTGTTCTTATCAGTCGGTGATCTTGTGGTTTGCCATATTTTTCGCAGTTTGCGTTTTTGAGCTATAATTTTTTTAATGTTAATAGGATAATTAGGTTTGCAACTTGCATTTTAATGTATAGTAGGTTTTTGAGCTGCTGATGATAATAGAATTGTGAAATTTGTTATCGCCAAATTTAAATCCTGTGCATTTTTAAGAGGTATGTTGCAAGTAATTTTTTCATCAATTATCTCTTGGAATAATGGCCAATTAGTAAATTTATTTGTGAGAAAATATGAGTTTTGATTTACTTCTGCAGTTGTAGAATATTGCAGAATAATTGGCGAATGATCAGAATTTAAATCTAAATTTGATTTGATATCTAAACAATTATCGTTAACGCCTTTAGTTATGAAAAAATCTATTAGATCAGGGATTTTGTTGAGATCTGTTGGCCAATAAGTAGGCTCGCCGGTGGATATTGGCTTAAGATTGTTTTTTTCAATCGATTTGTAAAGTTCTCGACCCCTAGAGGTGATCAGTCTAGAACCCCAGAATGTGTGCTTAGCATCTCCTCCCTCTATAAATGAACTGCCCAGCGTATTAAAAAAATTTATAAACTGACCTTCGGTGATCCTATCTGTCATACTTGAATGTAGAAATGCAAATGATATAAATATTTTATATGAAGTAAGTCAAAATAAATGTGAGAAATTACGAAATTGAAATTGAAAAATCAATCAACTTGGTTTAGTCCCAAGGAGCCATTACACATGATGTTCCTCTGCGGCTCTAGTATATAGATTATATTATACTTGTTTGTAGTATCCCGTATATTTTACATAAGTATCCTATGTGTGAAGTCGCTAGCGAATATATTACAAAGGTCTACTGGCACGTTTTTCTTACTGAGTGCATTCATAATGCAAACCCAGTAAGCGGAAATAAAAACATTCTTCTACTAGAGAGTACGTTTGCTTCCTTAGCAGTATTAACTACAAAATTTATAGCACCAATAGTTGATAGTCTTTTGCAAAAACCATACTGACTGTCTTCTAAGATTGGTTCAATAACTGTATCTATTCTTAGGAGAATTATTATTTTAATAAATTCACCTGCTGTATCCAACATACATTTCGGAAGGTAGGATGACGGTTTGTCTGGTGATTTTTCCTCTTTTGGAAAAAGTACTTGGCGACAATGTGGTTACTATTCTATTCAAGAGTAGGACAAGTTGAAGGCATTAGTTGGCTTCGACTTACACTTATTTTGATTTTTATTTTGTTTTTTTACTGCCAAGCCAACTCTAAACTCATGGCCAATTTATGTCACCACTCAATACATAAGATCTTATACATATGCCTTATATCATATATAATGTCTATCGATAAGACAAGATCAATGTCTGTGAGGTGATCGAAAATAAGTTGTATTTTATTTGTGTGGATACCGGTACTGTAAAGTAGGAGAGTTGTAAAATTAGGATCTGTGCATTTGCTGTCGCTATCCTCTTCGCTTAGGGCGAATTAGTGATGGACGTTGAGTCAACGAACGGTTATTTTCAACCGTTTTTTCTTCGTCACCGAATCAACCGTTTCGTCGCAACGAAATAACTAGTTGAATATCAACTAGTTTTGCAATGAGTTGAAAACATGGACATCAGTTAGTTATTCAACGATATAGATATTCGTTCGTTGTCGAACACGAACTCAAGGTACCTTTGGAAAAACCTAGGTTTGCTGTCAAAAAGGATTCTATCAAAATTGCTTATTGTTAGACTACTATTATAATATTGCAGATCCCTAAAAGGAAATTGCCCGCACTGAGCGCTGGCATGCAAAATGCCCAAAGTGGCCGTAGTTACTGGTGACGTGATAAGGGCCTGAACATTTTGAAAATTGTATTCTTAAATTTTCTGAACAAACATATATTTCTGGAACGATGCAGTTACAAAAAATATTTTTACACATTTATTATAATTAGTTGTAATTAATTTATTATAATTATACATATTTAATGCATCTAATTACTAGTCATATGATTTTTAGTTTCTTATCACACAACAAACAAAACTATGTTTAAATTTGTCAAAAACAATATTTTCAACAAATGTTGGTGGTTCAAAATGTTGAGAAAATAGTGATTTGTTTTTTACAGATTTGTAAACATAAAAAAATGTAAAAAGAAAAATAATAATAAATGTCATGACAATTCACATTTAATTCTTTTTATTCGTCAAATCAGTTGACAACATCAACTTGCCAATTTAAAAGAACAACTTCATATTACCAACTTTCAATGGAACAGTTATTTCAACTATCAGTTTCTTAACGTTGCCAGCGTTGAATTGTTAAAAATAACTATAGTTGAAAAATAGCTAGTTATTGAACTAGTTGACAAAAACACGTTAACCATTTCGTTTCGTTGACGACAAAACCGCCAACGACCCATCTCTTGGTGCTAATGGTTTTACTGGACATTATTATATGCTTATTTATCTATGCTACTGGATATGCACACCGGTGGAAAATCCAGGCGATTTGTATATGGATGAATTTGAATGAATATGTATGCCGACGGAAGTCCGGTGGTCAGGGCTTGTAAATGTGGTAGCCCGATGTGAGCCGAGAACTGGTGGTTCTGAAAATTAAATGTGCAAGTAATTACCATCAATGAAATTTAGTTAGCGTTAACGATCCAACCGTTACATCATTTTTTCGTAAAAAGCGCGATTGGTTGCTATTTTAAATACAGTATAGATCGGCATTCATGGTATGAATTAGCAGACTAAATGTGTCAGTATACAAGGTTTCGTCAAAATCGTCAGAAAAAACTCAACAATTAATTACGAAGAAACGGTTCGGCCGATTTTTATCAAAAACAAATCAGCACAAATTCCCAACTAATATCTTTGGAAGTGTAAAATTTTGAAAGTCGGTTGAGTGTTTTTTTTTTCGTAAAAAGATTGAATTATTATACCGATCGTCAAAACAAATATACGCTTGTCCTTATCCAATTTTATCAAATGCCATCAACGTTTTTGACAAAACACCGAGAAAAGCTCAATTTTTGACTATCATACAGACACATATATACTAAGATAGGCAAAAGTAGTTTTGCCTACTTCGATCTCAACCGATTTAGAACGATTTGGAACGTCGAGAAAACATAAAGTTAGCAATTTGGATTTTCTGACAAACAAAACTTACCTATAAACTATTCCTCATTCATTACAATACTGAATTACCCTTTGCGCTGACTCGTCGGACACTTAAAACTAATCTGCAGGCGTCATCTACCGGTATATACGTAACTTTATGTTATCTTTCATTCTAAATCAAATATACATACCTGCTGAAATCTGTTGGGGCAATCGGGAACATAACTCGTAATAAAAGGCGTCACGGCTATACTTGGCTGTGATTGCTATATTGAATTTTGACAAGTGTACAGTCATGTCATGACATTGTATATTGTACACTGATAATATTGATTAATGCTGCTCTTACTTGAATATAAAATGCTCGTCTTTACGAAGGCGAGGTTGTGGAACGTGTAGATAACGCGATGTAGATTTTAAATGTAGTGCGCAATTGTAATAGTGATAAAGTTATCTTTATATATTGACGACAAGCATTGATTCACATCATGGATCCTTTAGAAGAGCAATTGGCTGCACTTCAGCGATTAAAAAACAGTGACTTGTTGCCAGCAATATCTGCTTCTAAAAAAATAGCTCCAGCTGTTCCTCCCAAACCCAAGAAAAATTCTCCACAGATTCCTAAAAGTTGTTCAATTAAAATAAATGTTGAGCCGTCTTTTGCCACAGTATTAAAAAATCAATCATCCAATGCTGATTCTCATTTGTACACTAACTTACCCATTTCTAAAGCATTAAATAATTCTACAGAGCAAAAGAACATGGACCATATTTATGACAATTCTGCTGAAAGATCTGTACATAGCAGAAAAGTCAGAGAGGGAAATAATATTTATTCAAATGTGCCTAATATTTCTATGTACAGCAATGTAACCTTTCGAGCTTTTGAAGGAGAGGATCTTCCACCGCCGCCACTAAACATACAAGATCCAAAATTCTCAGAATATACTCAGGAAGAAGATTTACCACCTCCTCCTAGTCCAGTGAGTTCTAGTTACAGCGAACTTAGAAGAGCTACTGAATCCTTATACCAGCCTTTACCAATTTCACAATATCCTCCTGCTAATTATGGAATCTATGTACCAGAATCACAGTCCTCTTCTACATATGAATCGATTTATGAGCCTATTAATATAAGGCCACAAAGCGAAATGTCATCACGTTCCAATTCATATTCCCCATATGTTAGTAGATCTCAGACACTTGAAAAACATTATGTAAATACTCCGAAAGAATCTGAAGTCGATACACTAACTGATTTATTAGTACATTCCTTAAATACAAATAGAGATTGTGATATATATGGAATATGTGTGAAATGTGGTGAGCAAATTTTAGGTGAGAATTCGGGATGTACTGCTATGGACCAAGTTTACCATATATCATGCTTTACTTGCTGCCACTGTGCTATTAATCTTCAAGGAAAACCATTTTACTCCCTTGATGGAAACCCATATTGTGAAGAGGATTACCTAAATACATTGGAAAAGTGCTCAGTTTGTATGAAACCAATTCTAGATAGAATTTTGCGTGCCACTGGGAAGCCTTACCATCCCATTTGCTTTACATGCATTGCCTGTGGTAAAAGTTTAGATGGTATTCCTTTTACTGTAGATGCTACAAATCAGATTCACTGTATTGAAGATTTTCATAAAAAATTTGCTCCACGATGTTGTGTCTGCTCACAGCCTATAATGCCTGAACCTGGCCAAGATGAGACAGTGCGTGTAGTAGCTCTCGATAGAAGCTTTCATATTGGTTGTTACAAGTGTGAGGATTGTGGTATGCTTTTATCTTCAGAAGCTGAAGGACGCGGTTGTTATCCATTGGATGATCATGTTCTGTGTAAAAGCTGTAATGCAAAGCGTGTTCAAACATTGACTACGCACATGACAACAAATTTATGATACAATGAATAAAATGAAACTGATATAATTTGTACTTAATTTTATAGTTACACATATATATATATATATATATATATATATATATATATATATATATATTATAATCAATGATAATAAAATACCGCAGTTTTTAGGAACTATCAAAAACATATTCGGAATATAGTTTAGAAAATTACTGAACGTTTATAAATTAATCTGAACAAAATATAAACAACACTTGAATCGCAAAGTTAAAATTATTAATTTCAAGTATATATGTAAGCTTTAGAATTTTTTGAAATTTTAAAAAACTCAAAAATGTGTAGTCAAAATCAATTTTGATTATTTTGTAATTCTTTACAATTCTATAAATTTGTGAAATTAAAATTAAAAGCTATTTATACACAAACTGAATGAATTTTTTTTTTTTTAATATTTTGAAGCAAGATAACAGATTTTGCTAGTAAAATTGTTACTCTTAGTTTTTAACAATATTTGAATGAATGCTTTGCTGTAGGTTGTCTTATAAAGCTTAACAATATATAGCAATAAATAAATAAAATGTTGGTAATTTTCTTTAAAGTGACTGCAAAATATAATATATTCCTTTTATAAATATAATATGAAATTATAAAAACTGTATTAAATGTATGATATATTAATTCAGATCATTAGTATTATATGCAAGGTATTGCTAACATAAAAAAATAACTGTCATGCATGTTCTTATAATGATAACTATAGATAATATGTGTATAAAGTATTCATATTATATAAATGTATATTAGATATATATTAATAGATCTTATTTGTAATGTTTTATATATGAACATGAAAAGATGTTTTATCTTCAAAAAGATTCATTATTTTATTTTTACTTTTGTAATGGCTTTTTTACACTATTTTATCAATGTGATACAGTTTAATTATTAGGTTTAACTTAACAGCAAAAGTAACCTAAATATATATTGTTACAACTACCATAATTCTTGCTTTGGCAGGTATTACTTATTTGTTAACTTCCCGAAAGAGAAGTTTGTTTTCATTAAAAAAATACGATTTGCAAATTTTATATTTTCTCAACGTTTCAATCCATTCTGAATCGAATGAGACAAAATTTGGAAAAAGTATGTCTGTGTGTATGTGAGCCGATTTTTCACCATTGCGTCGACGTTTTCTCATGAACAGCAGAAAACTAGAAAATTTTTTGCCTTGTTTTAGCAATCACAATCCTGAATCGATTCGGAAAATTCGAAAGCCGTTCGAAAGATATTGGTAAAGAATGATATTGATTAGTTTTTGGTGAAGATTAGCTGGCGCAAGTTCTTATAATTAACTGTCGTTTTACGTTTTTTTGACGTTTGTCAAAATTAGACATTTCATCAATATTATCTCAAAAACGATTGATCCGATTTCAAAAATTTAGAAGCCATTCAATGTATCTCGATGATGACTATCGTTACTCAGTTTTGTTTGACAATCGGGCCGTTTCTTAGTAATTAAGAGAAAGTGAATAAATAATCGTCTAAGGTTAATTATTTCGGGAGTTCTTCATTTTGATCGCAAAATAAGAAAACGGTCGGTAAATAATAATTTTATACAATAGCACATCAATTATAAATTGAATCCTAACAAAATAGCACGATTTTCGAATTTAAATATTAGTTTTTAAAGCCATAAAAAGCTTCTGAGCGCATCGGTCGTGACCCGATCGTCATTCTGTACGGGCTTGATAGTTAGGTTAATGTGACGGTTCTATTGCATATTCGATGCCGATAAGCTTAATCTATTAAAATTTGAGAAATTATTCATCAGTATCAATAAGTGATTAGTTTTATAGTTAAATCGAGCATATATTATATTTGTGAAGAAATTGTCAATTTCATGACTCCTGTAATTATGTTCACACAACTGAGCCAGTGATCGTAATTCCGCGGAATTATGAGTATCTCGCAATTACGAAAAGTAAACTTGAAATATTTTTGTCTTTTATTTTATATTTGTCTTCGGCGCTGTTTCTGGGGTTAATGTTTTTTTTTTATTTTGTAACCCTAATAATGGGGTTTGAAATCACCACTCTTTCGTAAGAAAGTACACGATTTTTTTTACTTATTTGCATTATTCCAATATATCTAAAATATCGTAGTAATGAGAGAATCATTGAAATTTAATAAAAATACAGGTAAACCCCGTATAGCACACCAGGGCCGGATTTAGAAATTTGGCGCCTTGGGGTACTGATGCCGCCCTCATCCCTGAAATTTTACTTAAATTGTTTTATATATTATTCCCGTACCAAAAATTAAAATAAAAAAAAATATTTGAAAACTTAAAAAAATCTATTTTTGAAAATTTTGAGTTTTTTTATATTTTGAAATATTTTTGAAATTTTGAACTTTTTTTGAAGCAATCGCGCTGCTTCAGCTGCCTAGAGACAAAATATAGATGCGCGTAAGCGTCGCGTCGCAGTCTAAAAGAACCCATAAAATGTAAACAAAATTCATACTAATCTTTGCGATTGCTTTGAAAAAAGTTCATAATTTTCAAAAAAATTTAATATACTTTATATTAGCCAAGTTACCAAATTTGATAATGACTTATTAATCAATATGATAATTTACGTTCGGAAAGGGAAGCAAAGCAAAATAATGAATTTTAATAATCGACTATTTGAACCCAAATTTTGCATTGCAATCGTATTATGTTTTGTTAATTATATTTCTTGAAATAAAAAATGTTATTTAAAAAAATTAGTTAATTACATTGTATAGCATTTTTTCTTACTATCCAAATTTTGCCGGCCCCGAAAATCTGCCGCCCTGGGCGGTAGCCCCGACTGCCCCGACTGCCCCTACTGTAAATCCAACACTGAGCGCACGGTAGTTATAGGGCGCGGATTCACTAGGGCTCTGGTATTTATGTATGTATGCAGAGATCTAGGGACATTTCGGTATACACGGTAATTTTGATCCGATTAAGGCAGTGATCTTTTGGAATATAATCATTATATAACCTGCATATTAATAAAGCGAACATATATTATAAGTTATTAAATTAACATGAATTGCAATTACTCGAAAATGCGTTGCCGATACTACTCTTGAAAGCAGTAGCTTTCTAATAGTATATTACAGTTTATTATAAACTATTAAAATTATATTCACTATCAGTAAATATTAATTGATTTGAAATGATTTTAAATCGTTTTTATAGTTTTTCAAAGAACAATGGCTCCAATTAAATATTCACCCAAAACCCTGGAATGGGCTTTAAAAGATATTCGCTGTTATAACTGTTTTTTAAATCGTCTAAAACAAACAAAATTCTCGATCAAACCTGATCTAAGCTAATTGGCATTGTTAATTTGATAGACTTTAAAGATCATTTGCATTTGTTGGTAAAATTGTAACTTTTATTTCAAGTTTAAATTTTAAATTTATTTAAAGTTTAATTTATTTGTTTAACCGCCAGTAAAAATTATACCTTTATTGTTTCATATTTTTTATTTGATTTATTTATTTCCGAAAATTTCAGTATTGATAATGACTGTTACTATAAAAATACCAGCTTTTATTTTATTTTTGTTTGAGAAGTTTTTTAACTTTTTATATTATCTGACTTTTTTAAAAATAAATTAAATAAATGGTTAAAACTATAACAAAGTATTATTATTTAATTAACAATAATTTTATAACCAATTCAAGTGTATTCAAGGCAAAACGATCAAAAATATATGCTTCGAGCGCTATCATGGAATAGTGTACAACGACTCCCGGCATTATATCACGAGCTTATTATCCCGGAATTAGGATTTTCGTGGTTCAGCAAAATGCAGATTATTTCTATAAATAAACTTTTACGCCGCAAACTCTTGTTCAATATTGATCTTTTAACTCGCTCGCTCACTTTCCTACTTTCCTCACAAATCATTTTTAAAGTCAAACGTTCCTGAACATCCCGTTATATAGTACATTTACCTTACGTTTTAGCCAAAAATTCTGAATCGATTTTAAAAATTTAAAAACTATCCAAGAGATATTATTTGGGAATCGTGCTGCTTAGTTTCTGAAAGATCAGCCAAGCCGTTGCTTCGTGAATAACTTTTGAATTTTTTTCCGATGAAACTTTTCATATTGATAACACACTGGTCCTAAAAAACGTACTAAAATCTTACGACAAGTAGTTTCATTTTAAACATTCATCAAAGTTTGAAAAAATATGAAAATTCGCTTTTGTGTCGATAAGCAGGAGCCGCGATTAAGTTTACAAAAAGATTGACACGGCCATTTTTTGGGAATAAGCAGAAAAGTAAAGCCTACAAAACCCCTCTAGTTGTGTGAAAATATATTATCTTTCACACCAACACACAATGTAAAAGTGATGCAGGATGTTTTAAATGTTCAGAAAACCACAACATCAAAGATTGCACCGGAGAAAACATTTTATAATTTATTGTAAGCAACCCCACATGGCAATTAGTAAGACATGCAATGAATGTAACAAACAACTTAGAATACAGGAACTAGTGGCAAATAACAATATCTCACATAATGAAACAAGAGATATTGTAAAAGGTAACTCTTACGCCAAATTTGCAGCAGGATTCACTAACGTGAACCAAGAAAGTGATTTTCTACAAATCAATAGGAAACTATTGCAATTCAAAGAAAAAATTACACCACAACACCGTTTCCCCATTTTCCGCGCAACATCTGATTTACCCAATTTTCACGAAACCATACGAACTATCGAAAAATGTATAAGGTAGATTTGTTTATTGAAAAAAATCTCTACAAATTGGCTTAATTTTTTTCGTTCATGAGATATTACCGTTTGAACATTTGAAAAATTAATATTCTTCATTATATGCAGGATTTATACGCCAACAAACGTGAAGTATAAACAAAAAACTAGTGGGGCGCATGGCATGATGCTTTAAGGAAAATTGTTGGAACTGCCCATACCGTAACGAAATGTTCGAGGAATATTAAATGTTTCCAAACAGATTATTATAAATTCTGTAATATCGTTAATTATTTATAGGAATTATATAAACTG